TTCAAAGACTACAAAATTCGCCGAAGATCGTTCTTTTCAAAAGAATGCTTCTGATTGCCAATGTAAGGCCTGACTGCGAGCTGATTTTTTCCTCAAATAAATTACTCTTTGCTTGAATACTTCAAGTCGCCATACAAGATGCAAGTTGCGTGCAACAATCTACTATTTCCTCACATTTCCCATGTCACCTTTTTCCGGTGGTGATTCGCTTTTCGTTTTTTAAAAAAGCGTCTGAGCCGCTTGAGACAAATATTGCTACAAAACAACGGGACAACTAAATATTTACCGCGTTAACGACAAGTTTGCTTGTATTCCTCAGCATTTGTTTGCGAAAAAAAAACCTCGAGTTGTTCAAATTGTCATTTTCCAAGGTATAAAAAGATATTTTACACTTAGGTGCAATTTTGGTTCCTTCCTTATTGTTCAGTTCGCGCTGAATGTGATGACATCTCACACATGTGCAGACATTATTCAGTTCCCGTAAACTGCGCTAAGTGAAGGTACTTGTCGTAGCAGCATGAGACGTTGATTCCTGAAGACAACTGTTAACGTAATGGATAAACAGACAAAAAAGAGAAAGAATGCGGAATCATTTTCTCTGGAGTCGCTGGAGAAACGCTTTTCGGCGAAACAAGCTTTCCGAGATGAATTGTCTGCCAACATTGCTTTTCTACGGGGGATTGAAATCTCGAGAATGGAGCAAGTGGAAGAAGAGGAAGCATTGATTATTTTATCCTCCAAAATAACCTTTCAGGGAGTGCTTTTCCTGAAGACTGCTATTCATCATGTTCCGAAGACCTTTGTCATGAAGTGCAGTGATTATGGTGGTGCTTCACTTCGTTCTGTGTTGATTTATGAAATGGTGTCTGCAAGTCAAACCTCACTGTCCTCCCTGCCTAAACGAGAAGTGGACTGTTATGTTAACTTTTTGGAGAGTAGTTGCCCCAATTTTATTGCCTCTAATCCACTGCCCGATGAACAACTCGAAAATGAGCGAAGTTGGGAAATACTGCTTTACCAAATTTTTGGCACCTCTAGTGATAAGGTGTTTGCGTTGTGACGGAAACATTACAATGCATAATCCTCCATCAAAAGCAAAAGTCTTTACCCTGCAAGGCCCAATTCTGGCGACCAAAATTATGCTAGAGTGCAGGCCATGCAAGATGTCGTACGGAATAGCTCGATACACAAACGACTGTGGTTCTCATTATTACCCCAAGGAACTATCACTGGATTTGATCAAGGTTTCAAACACCACTTACGTGAGTGGACAGCTTTACAAGTGGTTACCTTCGCTGAGGTAAGAAGCTGAATTTATTTTCTCGCATAATACGACATTAAATAACTCATTAGTGTCACTATTATTTTGTTTTAGCAATCATTCTTGGGTATCGTTTAGTGGATTTTCGGAATCTTACAATGAAGTGTATCAAGAGGAAATCAAAAGATACAGGAATACAACGAAAGGTTAGAAACCGTATTTGAAGGTGCTATGTTAACACGAAGAATCTCTTTAGATTTGATTACTTTCTTACATTAAAATGTAAATTTGCCTGTTGTTAGTTTTTGTTGCTGTTAGTGGGAATGTTAATTAAGAAAGCGTCTTTGTAAGGTTTGATGCGATGAATGTGTTCCTGTTTGCTTGGCCATTGTCTAATGAAATCGGGCTGCTCATAAGGGCTGTTCGTACTGCAAGTGAGCTGATAAGAAGCGGCGTGCGTATAATTTTGTTGAATGGTTGAAGTCTAACTTTTGAAGGGATGAATTCAAATGACTGAAGAAAATTTTCAACCGCATTATGTGGAAGGGCTTAGGAAGTTTTTGTTCGGGTGGACTCGACTCACTATCATGGCACATTGCGAAAGAGAACATTTCGAATGGCACAAATTTCAGTTTCGATTGCAGTCGTTCAGATTTGCCGTGTCACGGGCGTAGGATATGCTGGCTGATAACCTCAGAACTTCAGATACACTTATGTGCAATTCGGGATTTTGTCTGCACGTGATATGTAAATATTTTAATTGTAAGACTTTTCTATCCATCTTTTAAGGTTCAACAATAGTACTGTATTTATTTTCAGTATGTTTTTTTATACTTGGAGATACCAGCTCCTTAGAAGTACTCTAAATCTGAGTAAATTAAGAGTAAATCGTATACAATAGTGACAGTTTTCAAGATATGCCGTTATTACTTTAGCATGATTAAACAAAGTGAGAGCCAATTTGTCGGCGTCATGGCGCGATTCCAAAGCAAGTGCGATAATGTAAGATGTTGCAAAGCGTCCAAAGTTAATTCTAACAGAAATACTCCGTCCTTGAAGGTAGAATTTGTGAAAATGTTCGGCCGGATCCACTCGTAACTGTCAATTGGTTCACACACTCGTGGTATTATTCGAATATCGAGAACCGAATGTTATGATAGCGAAGGGCTAATTACCAGAAGTCTAGAAAAAGGAGCGTGACAGTTTACGTACTGTTTGTACACATACTATGTAATGTGCCGGCCTGTTTTCTTTGACAGGCTAACAATACTGTGTTTTGGAAAAAATAGCTCGGGCCGTCAAAACTGCTTTTCGAATTAAAGGAACTTCTTTGCGTAAGAGATCACAAGCTTTAACTGCTAGAGAACCTCAGTCCGTTTCAAGTTTAATGATTACATATTGCGAGTGGGATTGTATAGTTTTCGCAATGAATTTTATGAAGTTATATTTTAATTGAATTGGGATGTGTGTTATTACCTGTGTCCAGCTTTTTTAACCAAAAATATGATAAAAGTTAATTAAAAAAAAAAAAGACTTCCAAACTCAAACGTCTAAATTCCGTCTGAAAATGTTGGGTAGAAATGTAACATTGTTTTTCCTAACAATGCTGTGGTTTAACTTTTGTAGTGTGCGTTGAAAATATTGAAATGGACATTTCCCCTGAAGCTGTTGAAGGATGTTCTGCTGGTGTGTAAATTAACAATCTGTGTATCAGAGGTTTTGTTTTTATTTTTTTCTTTGTTTGTTGAAGGCACTAAAGTTAATTTAAGAAAACTATCTGTTCCACATTTCTGCTAAAAGAAATACCATTAACACCCAAGTACCGGTAGTTTTTGAAAGCTTTAATTCTCAGTTGTACCCGGTGAACAAGAAACATGTTGGTGGGGAGGAGAGAAGGGGGGGTTGGTACACTCTCCATAGCTAATGCACTTTATGTGGAGGGTCTTCTTGTAAGAGGCATCTCTGAGAATTTTTCAGGCTGTAGGTACATAAACGCATAGGGATTTTACAAGCATGAGTTTGCAGGAAACTGTCATTTGTGTTCTTAAAAGATGATTGTAAATATCTTGAACAAACCCACTGAACATAGTAGAATTATAATGGACTGACAGGATGCTACCATGACCACATCGTTTTCTGTTATAAGTACTTTAAAGGAGGAATACCTGATAAACCTTCAAGAGGTCTGGATACCAAGTTTTATATTCTTTCCATCATTTCATAATTGATGCAAGAGCTACGCTGCACTAGATTGTCCAAATAAGACTATTCTCTCCTCTGAGAACATAGTCTTGATGATGATTAGAAATCACCCTGAGAGATTTTAAGGTTTTTAGACAATTGGTAGTCTGTGTGCACCAAGCTGCCTGAACAAAATTTGAGTTAGGCAACTGCGGTTTTCCATTGTGTCCGAGTGTAAACTGTTTGTATGCCTTTATGTTGCTTTTTTTTTAAAGAAAATGAAAATGCTGGGATCATGGGTGAGCTCTCTGCCAAATCAGCAGCAAAAAGTTATTGGAAGAAAGAACTTGAAGATGAGCTAGATGACCTACATCTACGCGAGGAATGGACTTTTGGCAAAGTCAGTGAAGATCATCAGCACACTGGTAGCGAGGAAGATGCAATGGAATTTGTGCAGAGCAAACGTTCAGAACAATTATACAGCCATAACTGTTCCAAGAAATGCCAGGATAAAGGTTTGGTTTTCATAGTACATGTAGCATGGACTTGTTTTGGTTTCATGAATCTGCAAATATAATGCTAATTTATGTGGTTAATAAAATCCTTCCATACTCTACCCTTTTATTTCAATTTTTTATTCAGCTCACCCACATAGTTGTGAAATTCCATTAACCCCCAGTCATATCTTTCTCCCGTAAGGGCATTATAGAGGATTTGACATACCATCAGTAAGGACGACATAGTTCAATAGTCAGACCATTTTTGCAGGTTGTGGTTAGTTGTATGTGGCAGATGGAAACTGGAAACTTCGTTATGCTCACTGCATGTGGAAAGTGCCTGTGATAGTTCCAGGATTTGGGGAAGCAAAGTATCCAAATATCTGTCCTCTGTCCCCGAAACGTGGTCATGCATTTTGTGAAAAACATTGTCACATAGCAGTAGCAGCAGGATATCCCTCAGAGCTTCGTTTGTTCCTTAAAATGTGTGGAGTGCCTGATGCTGATAAATTTACCAGTATGCCAGTGCATTCTTAATTAAATCATTGATATGTTTCTTTAGACGATAGTGAGGAATTGAAATTATCAATATCAGTTGTGTTTATCATTATGCTTCAGAGTTGGAGGAAACTGCACCTCAAAACCAGGATGCTTTGGGTCCAGACATAATCAGTGTTGTTGATGACAATTTGAAGACATGTGCACAGTCGAGCCAGCCTGGTAAATTGAATGCTTCAAGCTATCAAGGTGATTATAGTTAAGTTATTATTAGCATCACTACTATTATTAGTATTATTATTATCATTATCATTATTATTATATTATTGCTGTTGTTGCTATAGCTACTACAACTATTGTCATTATTGGTATATAGGCAATGTAACAGACCTTTAGAATGCACACTGCAAAAGAGAAAACGATTTTAACTGAACGGTTCTCTATTTAACAGGACAATAATATTAAGTTTATATCATGCTCTAACAAGGTTAAAAATACTAAAGGCAGGTATTAATGCACATTGCTTTTTAATACAACATTGCTTTTTAGGTACAGCACACTTTTTACAGTCACACCCAGAATTCATTGATTCTGATGAACAAGAGATTCAAGTTGACTGCAACAAAGATACAGGTGGAAGAAGAACACTTCACTGTTGGTCGCGAGGCATTTTTTCATTGTCAGTGCCGGTGGACACATCGACTACTGGCAGCCCTTATACAGGTATATTTCGAGAAACTGGTGACCAACTACTGCAAACTATGTACTAATACTGTTTATTTAAAAAAAAATCAATTTGCATACAGATTAATTCCAGTAACACTTTGCACTGTCTCCTTTATGATCATCGACTATACTGTTGAACAAACGATTGTCTTTGTCTGTTATTAATGGGCATTTCTGTCCTTTGTCAACTCAATTCCAATAGGATATTCTCTTTTTTAAGATCTAACAGAGATTCCAATATTTGAACTCTTAAATATTAATGTTCCAATTCTTTGACGTAACCTCCAGGTCAGAGTCTCCAACACAAGCCTACCTTGTGCTGGCAATATGGCTGTACCGGAAGTTCCAGGTTCTCAAGGATTCTGGACAGTCCACAGTTCACATCTCAAGCGCTATGCAGTCGACAATTTTGGCATATGACAATATGTGCCATGTGGATTCTTTAAAGATTTCAAAGAAGGACTTGCCTTTTCCTGCACCATTCAACAAAGTATGGAGCACCATCACGAAAGTGATAGATACATTACACTTACGAAATCATAAAGACCCCAGGTGTAAGCAGCTCTACAATGCAGAAGATAAGATTCCTTCACAGTTCAACACTATGGCCTGTGAACAAACCTTTGTTTGGGGAAGTCGTTTTAAAAAGATTGTTTGTGCTATGACTAGGCTTCATCAATTTTTTTTCTCCACCGTTCAGTAAAGCGAAGAAACAAGTATACTGAATTATGCTACTCTAAAAACAAAACACCTGTATTGCCAAAATTGTTGGCACGTTAATATCAAAATCAAGTGAACCTGTGTAAAACAACCTTATGGTCGCAAAGATTCGGCCGCCATTTTCCTTTTGAAGAGGATTTTGTTTATTTTGATTCTCGTCTATTTTCCCCTTGATGCTACATCTAAGGGTAAAAAAAATACATCGAATCTCCTTAAAGGACCCTAGTCAGCCATGCCGTTTAAACATGGATTTTTCGTTATTTTGTATTCCAAGCAGAACGGGTTTACACGAAAGAGATTACCATGAAACTGCTAAAGATTATTTAACAGATATCCCGTAACATCACTTGGGGGAATGCAAAGAATTTTCTATTCGTCAAACAGTTTTCAAGGGGAAATGGTGGAAGTTGACTACGGTCCTAATTTTTTTCTTTGCAAATCTGGCACGCGTAGTTTGCGTCGTAGTCTTTGGGCGTAATGCCGGAGCATTTGCTATGTTGCCATTTCTTGCAACTATTACACTGTAACATGTTGCTCCTTTTGACTGATGGACAGATGTTGCAAACAGGTGTCCCCTTCCTCTTCTTTCCTCTTCCTGAAAAAAAAAACCATAACCGTTCTTTTAGGATATTCGTTAACTATGGCCGTAGCCAAGAGAAAAAACAAGGGCTCTTTCTGTATGTGTTATCCATTTGAATAAATTCATGGTATATTTGCCAACGCAAAGACGGGGTAGAATCATTCCCTTCTTTTCTCTGAAGGTTATCCCTTCCGTTCTAATTCAGATGGCGGATAGTTGGGCACATCAGAAAAATAGGACGACTTATAATAATTGCAGTCTTGTAACAGAAAAGCGTAAATACCTGACTGCCGCATCTTTGCTCTGGTCTGATGTTTGTTCGCCTTGTGAAAAGGAGCAAGAGTATAAATATTAAAAAATTTTAACTTGTCGTTGGATTCGGTAGGAGGTCGCTCACTCTTGCGGCCAACTTAAACTATGAATTATATTTTATTGTTTGTTAAATATGTCATGAAGCATATTCAATTGACTTACTTGTTTCTGCTGACTGCGAGGATGACTTCCGCTCAGCATCATCAGCGTCGAAGAATCCTGAAAACAAACCGTCGTGTTTTAAAATACGGTCTGACATCGAAAAATTTACGTTTCTTCAAGGACAACAGGAAAGAATACAGGATAACTGGACTGCAATATGCGGGAGTTTTACAACGGATCACTACTAGCTGGTAGCTCCGTTTTTCAAAACACATTTATGGTAAAACACAAGTCAAGAATCCTTTACCCAAAGAATAGGGCGACTTAGAATAATCACAGTCTTGTAAGAGAAAAGCGTAAAGACGTGACTGTTTTTTTATATTTTTGATTTTTTTTATTTATTTGGTGCAGGATTGTTGACTTTTGTTTTGCTGACTAAACGTTTAATTTTTTCCTCTCAAAAGCACACAGCTCACCTGAATCATTTATAGATTCATCGCTTGGCAGGTCTAAAACAAAACAGAATGAAATTAATGGTTTAGATGGAAAGTGTATTTTTCGTATGTATTTTTTACAGGACGAGAGATTTTTTAGCAGTGAAAAAGGAGGTGTTACTCCTCATATAAGGTGACAGGAGACCCCGTGCATTCCCCGGTAAGAGACACTCACCTTCCGTGATTTTTGCCAGGCTGCTGGTTACGACAGGACCGTCCGGTTGTTTTTCAACCCTTCTCGTCTGTGCCAATTCCATTTGTAGTTGTTCTATTGTTTTCCTAGCGGAAAGAAGTTCTCGCTCACTTCTTTCTCTCTCCTCAAGGAGTCTCTCTTTCATTGTCCCAATCTTCTCCTCGTACTCCTGGTGAATTCTCACCTCCCTCTCCCGCATTTTCGTTTTAAGTAAAGTGATTTCTTCAGACAGCTTTCGGCAGTCTTCACGTGTGTTGTCTGTGTCTGCGCATTCACTATCCTCGTTGTCTTCTTTGTCATCTAGGTCGATGCAAAACCCTTCAAAACACAAAGCAACGATTTAGGTTCTAGTGATGATAAACTTCGATTATCCCTAACCCTTAAGATAGTTACTATACATCTAAAAAAGGATACCAAATCTTTTGTATTGAGTTGTTTTAGATTTCAAAACCCTGTGAAATCAGTGGCCGTAGAATGAACAAAGGGGATTATTTTTGCAGATGTCCATTTCCTGTCATTTCCTCCTCTCTTTTTGCGCCTGCTTCAAAGCTTTTTTTCAGTTAATCGTCCAGTGAGAGGAACGTGGTCCAAATTTGATATGTGCTAGCTAAGCCTTTTAGGAATGGAAAAATATAGTCAGGCAGATGTTTTCACGAGGAATTTACTTATCTTGCTATATCATGTATACTCACAACTGTCGATGATTTTAAGCTGGTCCTTATTCACAGCTTCTCGAGGAATCTTGATCGATAGCTCTCGGTGTGATTTTCCGAAGCTGCTTCGGAAGTCGTCACTGGCCCCGTTTATGCCAGAACACAAAGTAGAATAATTGGCTGACGAGTACGGGGTCCCTGCCCTTGCCAAAACTCTTGTCAACTCCGCCTTGTGGATGTGCATGGCTGGACCTCCCTGTCTGGCATTGTGCTGGTTAACACTGGGTCTTATCCATTTTTGGACCTTTAAAAAATGTAAGATCAAATATAAACATAATCAGTCAGTCATTATCGAATTAAGCCACTGTCATGCTTTTTTACTGTAAGTTAACGCTCGTGTTACTAAAGGTATTTTACAAATTCGCATTTAGGGTGATTTGCTATAAGGTAAACAATGTCAACCTCCTTGTCTAACAATTTTTATTTTTTCGTTCAGAAAACCGTAGATATGGTTTTAATTTATTTCGATTCTTTAGGTGGGAACATTGCCTCCCTGTCCCCCCCCTCCTCCACCCCCCTCCCGCAATTCAAAAAGAATTTTTGTCTCTTCTTCACATCCAAACGTGAGTACTGCACACAAAATACACACACGATTCTGAAGAAAATACTGTGAATACAGGAATACAGTGGAACCCAGCCTTCAACTTCCTTGTATGTGATTTTGTGAGCAGGGTTCGTTGAGCAGGGTCTCATTGAGTAAGGAAACTCAATTCTACGTGATTTTTTCAGTACCTCTTGGGCATTTGTTTTCCCCACTGCAGATATGAGGTCCGAAAAAAGTTGCTCCAGGGTGGCCATGACTTTGGTTGTGGTGTTGTACTGGGACATGACATATGGCACCAGCTTTTCAGTGACATGTTTGTCAAATTCCTCCAGTGTCATTACCGTTGGGTCGTTAACATTATCAATAAGCTACGATGAAAATTTGTATAGCGTTAATTTCAATTGATTTAATTACATGGTGACTTTGGCTGGGTCAATGCAGCGAACTGCAAAAATTAAGCTCATTCACGGACAAAAGTTGCACACAAAAGTTGCACACAGGAAGAGGCATACTGCGGTGTGATCGCTGCGGTGACTGCATTTTTTTCAAACTTGCGAATTGTTTTCGAAGATTAGTGCAACACGAGTGCCTAATACAGTTACAAATAAGTCCCAAAAATATGTTAAATCCTTTGCAAACAGTAAAAACAATTTGTGTCTGACATGAGGGTCTAATTTTTCGTGAAATTTATTTTGTCAGCCTGCCTCTCCCAAAATATGGTGAGCTTAGAGAGAATGTTAAATGAAACTTCTGTTAAGAAATGATGAATTAGGAAGGGGGGATTAGGATAGGGATAAACGAAGAATGATCCATTTTATTTCTTCCGGACTTTCTTATGCAAAAAATCGGGCAAAGTTCGCCTATTTCGTAGGAGTGTAGCAACAATTTTGAGACAGATTCTAGTTTTAGAGCTGAAAGCTATTAAAACAAAGTATCTTGGATCGATGAACCAGATTTCACTCACCTCCTTTGCAAAGTAGCAATAGCAGCTATAAATGCTTGGCAGCCGGCTTGGGAGGCCAACAAGCTTTTCACGGAAGAAAGAAACATGCTGCTGAAGGTCTTCCTCACGCAGATCTCTCCCCATCCTTATGACTGATGGAAGACAAGACGTGTTCGCTCTGTCAAATAATTCCCTCTTCTCTCTCATGAATGCATCGTCAACAGATTTGGTTATCAATTTTTCAAATAGAATCGGCGTTGTGCGCTCAAAGGATCTTTAAAACAAAGGCACAGATCGCTAAATTAATCACTCAGGCATGGACTTTAAATATGGCCTTGGTATGTTCAACGTTGTTCAAGTTGAGTGTAGAATCGCGACTCGTGTTTTCACCGCTTCGCGGCTCTCTCGTAGAAAAATTAAGAAAAACCTCTGGGACCAGGGAACCATCGTAACTAACTCACACAAGATGTTCTATCACAAGTACTCTCTATTCTACGATGAAGATGCGACCTTAGTAAATTTTAGCTAATTTTAACAAAGAATTTCAGAACACCAACATATGTTTATATCACATCAGAGGATTTTTTTTTCTTTTTTTATGTAAGAACTCAATGTCAATATGATAACCACAAGCATACCTCATATCCTCATCCAAGGAGAAGTTCACCGTCATAACAAAGGTGGTGAGGGGAACCTCGTTTCCACTCCCTTTGGTCTGTTTCCCGCCGCCTTGGAAGGTGGAAACGAGGACTTTTTTTACTGTTTTGGGGTGGGCGGGATCGTCCCAGTACACGGGGAAAGTACTCTTAACAAGCTCGCTGGCAACTGACTCGCCCGAGGACTGAGACACCAGCGTTCCTCCGAGAAGCTTGTGTATCAGTTGCAAGCAAGTTGACTTTCTACTGCCAGTCTCACCAATAGCCATGGGAGCTGGGCAGGAACCTGTATTAGCAGGATGATCAAATCAAAGTTACTTTAAAACGCATAGCGTACATGTTTGCAATGCCGTTTTTTTCCTTTCTTGGTGAAAGACGTACTCCTTAGCTACATTTGTGAAATAGGAGATGGGTTCAACAGGCTATTGGAGCGCTGCAGGAAATACAAAGTCGTCTCGATGCAAAGTCGGCAAGTGGGTACATTTTTCCATTTTTAATCGTGACCTCGGTTGACTTTATTGATATGCGGCGTTCGCCCTCGCTCTTTATCATAGGGTTACATACGGCGTTTCCTTTGTGTAAACTGCAGACTATAGCTACCGCTCCCCAAAACAAATTTTAAGAAAACGGAAATTAACTTTCAATATCTCATTTTTCTTTCATTGATTTGAAAATATGTCATTTTACATGACGTCAGTTGACTCGTTTGATTTGTCATGCAATGTGCTATTAAACAAGCATACTTACCGATGACAGAAAGAACCTTTTGGTAGTGAAAGGCAGACAGCGACCCGGCCAAAAGCATGAAAAATTGCATAAAGTTTGGTCCCATAAAGTCACGGGCAGATTCCATGAACTTAGACCAATCAAATCATTCTACGGGTATTGAAAATGGCACCGGTGCTACTTTTGTGTATTCCCTTAGTAGGCTCTTCTCGCTTGACGAGAACAGTCTTTGTAAGTACGGTGTCATCAAGATATATGTCTGTTCCTCCACTGGGATAAGCACTCCGTGTCTATCCAACTACAAAACAAAAATTATGTGCCGTGAAACCTTCAACGTTTGGTTAAAGATAAGAAATTTGAATTGTAGTAATGGCACATTTTGGTCACGGGTGAGGTGTTGAGTTTTGAAGTTAATTCGTGAAAATTAACGCTCATTGTTTTTTTTGTGTTGTTGTTGTTGTTTTTTGGAATGTATGCCACTTAAAAACAAATCTCTGTCGACTGGCATGCATTGTGCGCGTCTTCAGAGGTTTCATAAAATTTGTTTTTGTCGATTGTCCGAGGCATCCATCTGAGTTGTTCTACACTTATGGCCTTTAAAGACAAGATGCATTATCACCTTAACTTTGAGGAGATCATTTGGTCCTAACTTGTTAGTTTTTCACATATCTGAGAAGCTAAAGAAAGGCTGGTACGATGTGATTTGGGCCATGGCGACTGTAACATATTGGCACGTGAGAATTAGCACCTATTGTATATTATATTTTGTGTACGCATATTTAAGTA